TGTGTTTAGTACAATACCGATAACAGTGGAGGAAGCAGGCCTATAGCGATCGGTACAGCTAACACATAGGCTTAATAAAACACAGATTAAGGAAATGAAATTTTTGTTAATGTACCGAGACTTTCACGAGAAGTTTCCTTCATATAACCTGGGTTCATATTTTTCCGAAGATACTAACCGAACCTAACCTGACTTAATTTAGTATAACTGAACCTAACCTGACTTAAGCTTTACTTGTAACGTTTTATTAAGCTTTTATCTGTAACGCCTTGAAATGCTTGCTAAAGTTTCGTCTTTCAGTCTGTAATGCTCTAATAAGCTTTTATCTGTAACGCTTTAATAACCCTTAACCTGTAACGCTGTAAATAAGCTTTCACCTGTAACGCCTTATCAAGATTTTACCTTTAACGCCTCATTAAGCTTTACCTGCAACATGCTAATAAGCTTTTTAAAAACTTTTCGGTGTTGTATATACCAGTTAGACAAACACACTATCGAGTAAACTTCCAATAATAATAATAATAATAATAATAATAATAATAATAATAATAATAATAACAATAATAATAATAACAATACTAATACTAATAATAATAATAATAATAATAATAATAACAAGGAGACAGTAACTCCTATTTGCATTACGTTTCTATATACGGAAATATAACAACAACAGAATGTAACAAAGAATAAGCCCAGGTAAATATAATCAGAGTATATAATTAAGTGACGCAATATAATCGATCTTCAGGTATTATGATGTTAAGGAAATATAATAAACTGGGGTAAATATAATCGGTATTTTTATATAATTGAGTAATTAAGTAATAGTAGAGGTAGAATAATAGTAGACGTGTAGAGTCGTAGTACAGGTAGAGTCACAGTACAGGTAGAGTCACAGTACAGGTAGAGTCACAGTACAGGTAGAGTCACAGTACAGGTAGAGTCACAGCACAGGTAGAGTCACAGCACAGGTAGAGTCACAGTACAGGTAGAGTCACAGTACAGGTAGAGTCACAGTACAGGTAGAGTCACAGTACAGGTAGAGTCACAGTACAGGTAGAGCAGGTCACAGTACAGGTAGAGTCACAGCACAGGTAGAGTCACAGCACAGGTAGAGTCACAGTACAGGTAGAGTCACAGTACAGGTAGAGTCACAGTACAGGTAGAGTCACAGTACAGGTAGAGTCACAGTACAGGTAGAGTCACAGTACAGGTAGAGTCACAGTACAGGTAAAATAATCTATCTACAGGTGATATAAATTGTGGTGAAAATTGAGAATATTTTCGTGACCCAGGCTGCCGACACTCCTTGAATATATTAATGGTTTCTTATCAGGGATTAAGAGTATTTGTGTAAGGCTGTAGGTACACTTTAAAAGGTCTTACTAGCCAGTCGAGTGTCTTAGTGCAATTCGGATTACATTTTTTGTCATATTTTCGTATTTTTTTTATTTATTTACCTTGCGTCAGCCAATTAGGGGAGAGTATCTTTTAGTTATATCACTCAATTGTTACGAGGAAAATTCAACGTACAGGTGTTAGAGGATCAGGACACAAGGCGGCGCTGAACACTTAACATCAAAGGCGACCGACCACCAAAATGTAGCCGCACCTCCACCCAGCAGAATTTCGTTTTCAATTTATTTATATCTTTTGGTTTGAAATTATGGCCAAAGTTGAGGAATTTTGTAGGTTAAGTGATTGCTCATAAGGATAATACTGTAATAGGTTATGACACAAGAGAATAAACATTAAAGAACATCCTATATACGGTTGATATTTGAACGTAGTATGAATAGTGTCTTGAAATTGACTTCTCTTCTCGCTGTTTACCCATCAGGATACGAGGCTAAAACATTTCTGTCCACTGAAACTGACCTAAAATTACCTTACTAAGAGAAGGACACTTAAGATTATTAACATGAGATATACCTGGTTTCACGATGTAGTTAGCCCAAGAAGCTCTGCTACCCACCAAAATATTTTAGTGCCGCCGGTCAGCCTACATGGAAGTTGTTTTAAGTACGCGACCCCACAGTACTCCCAACACGCACCACGGCGGCGGGGACATTCAACGCCTGATTTTCGTTTTCGATGGTGTTTTATTGAGATTGGAACCCTTTTCAATCACACACAAACACACCCATACGAACACACATATACACACGAGTTTCTTTCATAATGTTTAGTATCGCCAAATTTTCAGTATCGTTGGCGAGTCTTGCGTTATCGACTATTTGTGACGGTGTTCACAAACGTTATTACTTATCTTTACAACTGCCTCTGAAACACACACACACACAAACTACTATTAAACACGTGGTAAGTTCTCGCCCTCGTTCATCACATATTATGATTTATAGTCCAGTTGCGGAAATGTGTTCCTACACCCCCTGTGGTAACCCGTGTCTACAAACGGCCAACCTATCTACCAATCACGTCTGTCGTTACACGACCAATACCTATTGATTCATAAACAGTGATACTGCCTCTTTTTGCACTTGACTGCCACTACTTCTCAGTTTATTTTCAGAACACGAAACAATTAAGTATCAGTCGAGTCAGTTCCAGAGAGGAATATCACTGAAGCAATACTCGAGACATTCTTCATAACAGTTAGACAAAGTGTGTCTGTACAGACATTTTATAAATATGTGAGTCAATAGGGTAAATATTAACAACACTGATAACATTACAATATATACACGGCAACATTATCAACAACGGAATGCTGTACTGCTAGAAGACTCAGAGCTTTATGGGTTTGAATATCGTAAGACACCCATATCTCATACCTTTGGTTGAATGTGTATTGTGGTGATCTGTCGGTGTAATATCTGCAAGTCTGTCGAAGTAATCTGATGGAATGTCGATTTATAATGAGATGTGTCAAAGGTTATGGCGCAGTGGTATAATGCAAAATATTGTCTAAAATGAAATTCCGTGGAGTAAAGAGCAAAAAGGTGTAGTACTGCGATGATGCCATTTGGAGACACGGGTTACCACAGGAGGTGTAGGAACACCTTACCACAACTGTACACACTCTACCACGCCCACCACACACGGTACACACACTACCACGCCCACCACACACGGCACTCTCTCCACCACGCCCACCACACACGACACACTCTTCACCACACACGGCAACTCTCCCGCCCACCACACACGGCACTCTCCACCACGCCCACCACACACGGCACTCTCTCCACCACGCCCACCACACACGACACACTCTTCACACACACGGCACTCTCCACCACGCCCACCACACACGGCACTCTCTCCACCACGCCCACCACACACGGCACACTCTCCACCACACACGGCACTATCTCCACCACGCCCACCACACACGGCACTCTCTCCACCACGCCCACACACACGGCACTCTCTCCACCACGCCCACCACACACGGCACTCTCTCCACCACGCCCACCACACACGACACACTCTTCACCACACACGGCACTCTCTCCACCACGCCCACCACACACGGCACTCTCTCCACCACGCCCACCACACACGGCACACTCTCCACCACACACGGCACTATCTCCACCACGCCCACCACACACTCTCTCCACCACGCCCACACACGGCACTCTCTCCACCACGCCCACCACACACGACACACTCTCCACCACACGGCACTCTCTCCACCACGCCCACCACCACCACACACACTCCACCACACTGCACCTCCACCACGCCCACCACACACGGCACTCTCTCCACCACGCCCACCACACACGGCACTCTCCACCACGCCCACACACGGCACTCTCCACCACGCCCACCACACACGGCACACACTCCACCACGCCCACCACACACGGCACACTCCACCACGCCCACCCACACACGGCACTCTCTCCACCACGCCCACCACACGGCACTCTCTCCACTGCGCCCACCACACACGGCACACACCACCACGCCCACCACACACGGCACTCTCCACCACGCCCACCACACACGGCACTCTCTCCACTCCGCCCACCACACACGGCCCACTCTCTCCACCACGCCCACCACACACGGCACTCTCTCCACTGCGCCCACCACACACGGCACACTCCACCACGCCCACCACACACGGCACTCTCTCCACCACGCCCACCACACACGGCACTCTCTCCACTGCGCCCACCACACACGGCACACACTCCACCACGCCCACCACACACGGCACTCTCCACCACGCCCACCACACACGGCACTCTCTCCACTGCGCCCACCACACACGGCACACACTCCACCACGCCCACACACGGCTCTCTCCACCACGCCCACCACACACGGCACTCTCTCCACCACGCCCACCACACGGCACTCTCTCCACCACGCCCACACACACGGCACTCTCCACCACGCCCACCACACACGGCACTCTCTCCACCACGCCCACCACACACGGCACTCTCTCACCACGCCCACCACACGGCACACACTCCACCACGCCCACCACACACGGCACACTCCACCACGCCCACCACACACGGCACTCTCTCCACCACGCCCACCACACACGGCACTCTCTCCACTGCGCCCACCACACGGCACACACTCCACCACGCCCACCACACACGGCACTCTCTCCACCACGCCCACACACGGCACCTCTCCACCACGCCCACCACACGCGGCACTCTCCACCACGCCCACCACACACGGCACACACTCCACCACGTCCACCGCAAACCCACCACGCCCACCACACGGTAGACACCACCACACGATACACACTCCACCACGCCCACCACACACGGTACACACTCCATCACGCCCACACAAACACAGTACCCCACTTCACCACGCCCACACAAACACAGTACGCACTTCACCACGCCCACACAGTACATACTCCACCACGCCCACACAAACACAGTACACACTCCACCACACCCACACAAACACAGTACACACTCCACCACGCCCACACAGTACACAGTCCACCACGCCCACAATGCATGAGGAGGGCGGCCACTACTTACCTTGGAAGAGACCCGCGGGACAATATTTCAGAAGGGCGCGCGCCTCATCCTGCCTGAGCCTGTGTCCACCAACACCGTCAACCTACTGTGGACACCTGCTGGAGGAACTTGTCTTGATAACACCCAATAATCTCCAGAGAACAAGTCCCGTAATGTTCTGTCTCGTTCCTGTGATGTCCACACCGCTAAATGAATTTCCAGAAAGGTTGAATCATTCACACGTGTATGACAGTCCAGGAGGAGCTGGGTGACGGAGACGAGGACCACGTGGAGAAGGTGCCAGAAGGACAGTCGTGACTACCCTGCTTTGACGACGGTGGCGCGGTGACTGAGTGGGCGGTCCCCGCACCGCCTGTCATGTAGCGTTCCGCCTAAGCTCCGCCCACCACGCGCGCGCGGCGAAATCACTCAAAATTTGCACACGTTACATACCTAAATCATCCAAAGTCATCCATTATTTAACGCCCCAGTCCAATTTCAGGTACTGAAAACTTATTAACTTACGAATATTTCATCTGCCCGGAGTTAGTGTGTGTTTACCATGCGTGTATACATTATCCTACAAGTTAGTCCACTTCGAACACAGGCATCTGGGCCCGCCCACCTCCCCGTCTGCCATGCATGTTGGTGCCTCCCTCAGTATCCGGCAAGAGGCATTTTTTCCCAAGGGATCAAGCGTACACTCCTCCTCCTACCCCCCATCCCCCCCTATCCTGGATTTGCTAGGTAATACCCCGGCGGCCCTGGGATAACGTGAAGGATCCAGGGACCAATACCCACGTCTTCAGGGATTCCAACATTTGAGACCTGCAAGTCGGCAACTAGACCATGGCTGCAGGAGCACTGACGCCACGGCTTCAAGGGCCCGACGACATCTGAGCTTCAGGAACACCAAACCAGATGCTTCAGGAACACGAAAACAGAAGCTTCGAGAACCAACAATACCTGGGGTTCACAAGTCGATGAAACCTTGATCTCAGGGTCGACCATACAGAGGTTTCAGGGCCAACATAATCAGGGCTTCACATTCAACAATACCATGGCTCCAGCGTCAATAGTATCGAGGCTTCAGGGCCGACTACACCAAGATCTCAGGACCGACAGTACCAACGCTTCAAGGCCGACAGTATCAAAGCTTCAAGACCGACAGTACCAAAGCTTCAAGGCCGACAGTACCAAAGCTTCAAGACCGACAGTACCAAAGCTTCAAGACCGACAGTACCAAAGCTTCAAGACCGACAGTATCAAAGCTTCAAGACCGACAGTATCAAAGTTTCCGGTACACAAGGGATCGAACCATACAGCGAACCCTAAGACAGGAAGTGAATGCTGCTCCCACTCAGCCACCGCTGCCTTAACATCACCTAAATAATACCCCAAACTGCAAGATAATTTCACCTGATGATTAAACACCATAAAGTTATCTGGGGGGGTTAGGTTAGGTTAGGTTAGGTTAGGTTAGGTTAGGTTAGGTTACGGTTTATAGTTAATCATCAACTGAAATAAAGCTGGGGGAACTAATCTTTAAGTGATCTAACAAAAACATTAATTGATCCTAAAAAATGTGAATCAACAGCTGGCGATTATTAACATCAGGTTTGTGACGGAGAGACTGGTCAGCGGCGTCACCATGGCAGTGTTCTAATGCCCCGACACACACACAGGATAACCACCCATTCACCTGGCGATCATATGGGACTAAGCGTTAGTGCGGGGCTGTCCGTGTACCTGGCGTAACGTAATGAGATGCATTTGAAAAGAATAAAAAAAAATTCCCTCAAGAGAAAAAAACACGATCAGTCAGTCAGGATAGGCAGAGGTACTGAACTAACTGTAAAACACCCCAAAATAATGCAAGCTTATTGGCTGGTGAATTAACCTAGTATAACCAAGTATCAGTTATGAAGAAATTTATACTCATCACACTCTAGATATAAACCTACTCTCATAGCGAGGATCGAACCATGAACCCGCAGAGCTACGCACGAAGGTTTTACCACTCAGCTACTGAATGCTTAAGAAGTATAGATATAAAGTATAAATTATTGACAAAACATCACTTCTTAAAGGAGATTTTCCGTGATCCTATAGAGGTGAAATATAGAGATTCGAACTAATGTACAGTAGTTCACAAGGCGCTATTCTCAGGGTTTAACCACTCAGACACCAGCCTCTCTAGAAAGTGTGTCGAGATGGTGGCATAACCTGTACGACTATACTGTACAACAATTATTAAAACTGTACGATAGTTTATACTACTGTGTATGATAACTTATTCTACTGTACGATAACTTATAATACTGTACGATAACTTATGCTACTGTACGATAACTTATAATATTATGTACGATAACTTATAATACTGTACGATAACTTATAGTACTGTACGATAACTTATAATACCATGTACGATAACTTATAATACTGTACGATAACTTATAATACTGTACGATAACTTATAATACTGTACGATAACTTAAAATACTGTACGATAACTTATAGTACTGTACGATAACTTATAATACCATGTACGATAACTATTCTGCCAAAAAATATCCTTCCTATATTAGATATATTTAGACAACTTACTGACCCCAACACACACACCTTCCTAACCTTATTAATGGAAGTTTATCTTAGTGTTTATGTGGGAGATATTTTCTCTGTTAACGCCTATTTAATCCACCTAATATATAATTCTCGCTTACCTTTGTTAATTAAGGAACTATCGTGTTATGCTTAAGTCGTTTTCGTAGAGCGTTTTCTCAATCCATTATTTGCTAAAGGTTTTCCATCAGTCGAGTAGAGGATCGTCTGTGTTACCTGAGAAAAACAATTCCTTGGTGGTGGTTCATGGCACTTAGAGGGTTAACCAATAAATTAACACCAATTCGAGTACCTTTGTATAATGATGATGATGATGATGATGATGATGATGATAGTGAAGTAAATATAGTGTCTTTATGTAAACACGTATAGCATGTACTGAAGAATTCTATACCCGTACATGTTTTGTGTCTGTCTGTCTCTTTTATTCTCTTTCTTTATTTTAACTCTCATTCTCTATTTCTTTCCTTCTCTCTCTCTATCTCTCTCTCGTAAGCACACACACACACACACACACACACACACACTATCACCACCACACAGATAAGAGACAACCAGTCCGCCTCTCCGTCGACTAACTCAGCCATTGGGGACAGGGGAGGGGGGTGAGGGGGGGTAGCTGGGTGGTGTTGGGGTGGGGTGAGGTGGGGGTACCATTGGTGTGTTGGGGGAGGGAAGGAAGAGGTGCAGGGTACTCCCGACCTCATGCTAAGCTGCTGTAAAGACCAAAATGACTCCTTCTTCAACACTGTCACGCTTACTTGCTCCTTTCTTAACAATTCGTAGATACAGAAACGTCCTCAAAACGCGATATTTCACTCTTGAGTTTTTTTCTTCAATTTGCAAATACAAAAAAAATCCGCAGAACGTATTTTTTTGGGCTGTTATTTATTTCTAAGTTCGTAATTGAAAAAAATTATCCTCAAAAAACGTATTAAATGAGAAATAAAGAAGAAAATGAACAAAGGTAAACGTAACTGATTACTTATTTATTTATTTATTTTTTAAGTCGGGATCATCATCATCATCATCATCATCATCATCATCATCATCATCATCATCATCATCATCATCATCATCATCATCATCACCATCATCATCATCATCATCACCACCATCATCATCATCATCATCATCATCATCATCATCATCATCATCATCATCATCTCGTGCAGCTGCGGATTCATAGACTCAATGGCAAGTTCTTCCTATAAACTGAACATATTTGGTACTCACATAATAATGACACTGTGTGGAATGATAAAAAGCTGAAATTATGTGTTTTAATGAAGACATATTTTTATTACAGGGAACACACACACACACACACACACGCACACACACACACACACACACACACACACACACACGGTAGGGCTCTGTTAAATTATCAATCCTAACACCCCAGTATCTTAACGTTATGTGGCCTCGGGGAACGATAAAGAGAGAGAGAGAGACAACTTCTTTTTAATTAATATCTAGTTACTGTACACGTGACATTTATAACACGAGCACCCCACCCCATCCCTCCCCCTCCTCCTCTCCTTCCCACTCTCAAAGGGCACTACCGCCTCTTCTGATCTGACGAAGGAATGTTGAGCCCGTGAGAGGGAGGTTTTTTTTTTTAAAGGCCGTATTAACTCATTTAGTGAATAATTATTGGTAAAGATTATTCATTTAGTGGCGTTTGGTTAGGTTAACTTATTTCTGTGTATATACATAATAACTGTATGACTGAATGAATGAATGATAGTGACTGAAGTATAAAATGTATGTACTCTTGTTCCGGTCACCTTGTATTAAGCGTAGATAGCCTGAAACAGTAGGTCAGACATACACACCTACACATAAACATACATATCAAAACACCAGGTAACATACAGGTACCCAATTAAAAGTACAAAACAAATAATATTGACTAGAATACAATACTCTACAGTGTAATGAAAGTCAGGTATGGTAGGGAATAGATCTTCAATATATGTTTTTCTTCACCACGATGAACACAGGGGCCACAGGTACGACCAGTTGTCTAATAATACTCTCCCTACAGGTATATATTAGCAATAAACCAGGTGAGCATATATTGCCCTGTTCTCACCTGTATAAACTCCTTGCCATTTACACCACTCCCTCCCTCCCCCTCTCTTCCTTCCCACATCCCCCCCCCACCTACAGCACCAGGCGGCACCTTAAATATGCAAACAACCTCATTGTCGGAGACCCTTGAAAAGAAATAGCGCCTTGAATTGGCTTCCACAACACCCGGGTGACGAGAGAACCAGTCAGCTTTCATATTTTTCTGTGTGTGTGGGGAAGACCGTCCTGCTCACTGGCACAAACACGATAATTAGGGGAGGGAGATGGTTAGGTGGGGAGGTGGGGAGTTCTTCTATCACCCCCTCCCCTTCCACCTCCACCTCACCTCCTACCTGCCCCTCGTCTCCACCAGCTATTCTTTCCCCAACAACCCTAACCCAATCCTTCCCCATCATCCCTCCCCAACATATATCATCCCTTGTTAATACCCTTATCAATATCATTCCCCCAACACCCTCCTTCACTACTAACTCTCCCCAATACCCTTTCTCCTCACCACCCCTCCCCAACACCCCCCATCACTCCAACCCTCCCCATCACCCCACCCCTCCCCAACACCCCCATCCTCCAACCCTCCCCATCACCCCCACCCCTCCCCAATACC